TAGTATGTAAATATAAACGTAAAGAATCTATTTATACTAATATATATTTTGAAAGGCGTTTTTTAGTGTTCGCAAAGCTCGAGAACGGCTGAACCGATTTTTTTTAACCTTCAGACACCTGCCGCACGTGTCCCAAGGATGGTTTCAGGCTAAAAAAAATTCTATATGTAAAGGGGGCGTGGCACCTCCAATACAAAGCGAATTTTTTCATACTCCATATCTCTGGAAGTGTTCATGGTAGAGTTCTGGAACTTCATATGGAGATATATGAGATCAATCGCATACTCTTGGAGAAAAATTGGAGCTTTTGGAAAAGGGGGCGTGGCACCTCCCATACAAACCGAATTTATCATGCTACATATCTCTGGAAGTGTTCATGGTAGAGTTCTGGAACTTGGTACGGAGATATATGCAATCAACCCCATACTCTTGGAAAAATTGGAGCTATTGTAAAAGGGGGTGTGGCACCTTCCATACAAACCGAATTTTTCATACTGCATATCTCTGGAAGTGTTCATGGTAGAGTTCTGGAACTTGGTACGGAGATATATGCAATCAACCCCATACTCTTGGAAAAATTGGAGCTATTGTAAAAGGGGGTGTGGCACCTTCCATACAAACCGAATTTTTCATACTGCATATCTCTGGAAATGTCCATGGTAGAGTATAGGAACTTAGTATGGAGATATATGAAATCAATCGCATACTCATGAAGAAAGATGGGAGCTATTGGAAAAGGGGGCGTGGCACCTCCCATACAAACCGAATTTTTATACTGCATATCTCTGAAAATATTCATGGAACAGTACTGGAACTTCGTATGGAGATATGTTTGTATATGAAATCAAGCCCATACTCACGGAGAAAATTGGGGCTATTTGAAAAGGGGGCGTGAGGCCTACAAACGTACCGACTTTTAGCTATCTTTGAATGTATTTTTAATTCTTCTGTAGGTGTGTTGTAAAATCCTCCTAAATGGTTGTACGGATTTTAACGAAATTTTTTGTATGTGTTTGAGTGGGTCTTTGGATGGTTTAGTTTCACAATTTAATCCGCCTGTTGGCTCTGTAGTTGAGGAATTACTAAAAATCTCATTTATGATCCAATTTGACTAACATTTTAAGGGCCGTTTTCTCATCTAAGCTTTAGATTACCGGCCACTTTATCGTCTCGATATACGAGTTTTCGTTTTCTCATCAGCACAATAATTTCTCCAATCGATAAATTGTTGCTTACCCGTTGCAACCTTCAAAATTTGTACCCAACTTTAAATTTTGGTTTGGTTTTGGTTTATGAATCAGATATATTAGATATTTCAACCAAGGTTTTGGTTTTTGCTAACAGTTGCTCTTGCTCTATATTTGCTTATGTTGCATTGCCAAACTTTGGAATTTTATGACGAATGTAGTGAAGTTTCACTCTCGGAAATGTAGTGAAGTTTCACTCTACGGAATAACAAATTTATTTTACCTGCAAGGTAAGAAATCGAAAACACTTTAAAGTGAGGAACAATTTATCTGACCTGTTAGTAAAGGCAACTTTACTGCTTACATTAGAAAACGGCCCTAAATATGTATTGGTAATGGTAAGAGCATTATTATTGCAAAAACGTGCTGCCAAGTGGCGCTGGAGTCGAGTTATTACTAAAAATAGCCAAGTGAGAAAAGGTGCCGTGAAGGTCAGATTAAATTGACCTGTTGCACCATTGAGTATATCGAACTCTCCTGTGTTACGATTGGCCCAATGGATGTGATTTTCCAATATTATTATGCCTTCAATTTTTTAATTTGTTTTTGTTTTTTTTTTGGCCTTTATAACAATTATATTCAACAATTTATATTGAGCTCGAGGCCGTTTTAAAGGAAAATTTTTATTGTGGAAAAGCAACAATAATTTGAAAAAATGGTAGAAGTGATAGCTATTTCGGAAATCACCACATTTCCTCATCAGACTTCTTTCAGTAGGATTCGAACCGACGATCCCACTGACTCAGCCAGTTGCCTATGCACCGTGCTAAGTACGCCTTGTAAATTATCGTTTGCTTTTTTCCACTATTTTCATTTTTGTTATGCCAACACAATCAAGCGCAGCTATTCCGCTGCAATTCACTTGATCATGTGGTTGTTGGTATTGTTGGTTTTTTGCTAATAATTCTATTTTTAGAATGTTTAACTTTTAGGTGTGCTCGTCCTTAAGTTATTTGTTTTTGTTATTTTTTTTTTGGCTTTTATAACAATTATATTCAACAATTTATATTAAACATTCTAAAAATAGAATTATTAGCAAAAAACCAACAACCGGCGTTAGAGAAGGAAATATATTTGGTTTTTACCTTCGAGGTACTTTCTTAACCTCTGCCGATTCTGATGAAAAGAAAGAGGAGTTTATGTAGATATTGTCAATTTAGTTTTTAATCTTCTAAGAGGCTCTCAGACCAATATAATCGAAACATGTATCTAAATTCTGAATTTGTATATGTTTAACATATTAGTCAGTGAGGAATCGTTAGTCATCTCATCTATACATACAAATATATATGAAAATTTATAATAATTAAAAAATGAGGTTCCTTTCTCGATCTAATTTCGAAAGCTACTGAAGAAATTTGGTTTTAAGTTTTCCTGTATGTTCGCTATAAATTTTGGTGGTGGACTTCAAAATCGTCATTCGCATAAAGGAGTCAATATTGGTGAAAAGCAAAATTCAAAAGTTTATGAAAAAAGATGTCGAATTTCGACAACTGGGCGATACTAGTAATGATTATTTTCTTCCGTTATTCTTAAATGAATCAAAAATTGAAGGTTCAGGAACTATAACCCCGCAAACATATTCTGAACGTTCAGAATATATGAGTCCGAAAGGAGTCATATGTATGTAAAAAATATGAGTTTCAAATAATACAAAAATTTCCTATATGAATCCTGTAGGATTCTGAATTGTTATCTAAACTTTTTTATACAAATTGTGTAAAAAATAAAAAGTAAAATAAATAGAATTTGGCTGTAACTGCTGGTTTTAAGGTTTGTACATGTGTATATAGATACGAAAGAGATGTTTCATTTTTTAATCTATTGAGGGATTCACAACGGTGTCGTAAGTGTCGCACTGTTGTATGTCGTAAACTTTAAAAGCGTAGATAAATGTTTAGAGAACTTGAAACGACAACCAACTATTTTTTAACCCCGCAAAAATTCATAATATGACTTTGATGGTACTTTGCGAAAACCCTTAATATATTTTTTAGGCGTTTAAAGTTTACGACATACAACAATACGACACTTACGATACCATTGTGAATACCCCATACGTATTTTATATGTATTTTATCTTTACAAAAGTCTACAGCAGCCGATCATTAAAGAAAGAATGAAAGCATGAAAATGCCAAGCTGTTTATGTCGTTTAAAGTACAAAACCGCGATCAACAAAATGCAAAAATCAAGATAATGCAAAACAGCGTATGCGAGGTTGCATAAATTATTTTCTAGAGAGTAAAAACACTCATATTTCAAAATGGTTCTCTTTTTTATAAAGCAATCGCATTTCTGGCTAGTAAAGGACGAATGGATAAGAATTGAGCCAAGAGCTTGTGTGAGCAAATTTTTGTCAGCAAATGTCAGTTACGCGGTTTTGCAGAATAACGATTAGTGGTTTTGTACTTTAAACGACGATATGTACATACCCAAGGCCATCCATCAAAACCTATAACAAATGTTAATGAAATATTTAGATTTTAAGTTAATCCTCTTATTTAAATGTATAATACTTATTAACACATAAGATAAATAGTAATATTTATTAAAAAAGTTTTCGCGGAATGAATTTCGAGAAAAAATTGTATATGAGGCCAATTGGAGTCATTTCGGAGTCTTTTTTATGTTCTTATATGACTCCAATTGGCCTCATATAAGAACCTAAAAAAGGCTCCGAAATTAGTCACAAATGAGGAGAATAAGAGTCTAAAAAGAGTCCGAATACATGTGCAATAAGAGTCAGATATGACTCGTATTGAGGCATCGGATGTATGAATTTAAGCTCATATAAGTCGACCTTCGCCAGAAGAGAAACACCTTCATTTCAGACTCCTAAATGAGCTCATTATGAGCGTAAAGGCTCCGAAATATGACTCCTTAATGACTCATTTATGACTCTGAATGTTCCCTGGGAAGAAACCTATTTTCATATTGTACTCGACCCTACCTACAACCTACACCAGGTTTTGTTTCGGGTGTATTTCGTGATTTTTTTTTTGTAGCACCGTGTAATTTGCTAATGTGTATTTATTATTTAACTTATAATGATTAGCGTCTCGGATCTTAACAGTACAAAATTATTGTAACAATACTAACAAGTAATTTTTAAGCAAAAAAAAACTGACTTCAATACTCATATAAAAATTTGAGATTATCGTGAATTTCTTTATGATCCAATGATCGGATTTAAACCAAATTAGTATGGGACCACCTGTGAGGTAACACCTTTCCTTTAAAAAATTATTGAAATCGGGTAACGTGGTCTAAAGTTATGCGGTAACATACATACAAAAAAATATTCCGATGAATTGATAACCTTCTCCTTTTTGTGAAGTCGGTTAAAAATACCGATTATTTTAATTCAAAAATTAAAAACCACATAATTTCGAAATTAAGATCTTCAAACCAAAAATTATCAATATAAGGATTATTTTCGACGCCTGTTTTATTTATTATATTGCACTAGTAAGTGAATAATTGGATTCTTATCCTAGGGAAAATCTAATAAGAACTAACAGTTTTTGGGTGTAACGAATTAAATCGTTAAAATTTTGTTGGGCTGTTATTAACTTTATTGTTGTTCAACAGACCGTCCACAATGCAAAATTTTTCAAGTCGTAAGGGAAATCCCTGTTTGAAAGGTCGAGAACAACCGAACCTAACCAAACAGAGAAAAAAAAGAGTTTAACTAAATAATAAACCAATCTGAGGTCATACAACATGCACTGGAGTAGTCAATAATGCATACATTTTCGATTCACTAGTTTTTCGAGGGCCTTTCCACACTTTTGCATAAATGGAGTGTTCAGCATTAATATCTATTTTTGCGTCTGAAGTGAACGAATGGGCGCTTATGTTGACCGTGTCAATTTTGCTATAATCGCTCTCCGGAGCATTTTCATTACAAATCAAATTATCCGCAATATCAGAATAACTATTTAAAGATTCTTTACATTTTGTCTTGTTGTAGCTTTTCAGTAGGGTATGTTGTTCCGACTTATTACTTTCTGCATTGGAAACAAAATCTTGTTGTGGCAAGTCTTCAGATGACACAATTTGTTTTTTCATTTTTTTATTTTTATCTACCATGGCGTATATTGGTTGGTTAAATTCTTTAAAATTTTTTGAAATCACATTTTTGGCGTTCGCATAGCTTGTTCTTTCCATAGTTTGAAAAAATTGGTTATTTTCATAAATGGGTTGCGTTTTCTTTCTTTTTTCTTCCTTAAAGTTGGCATAGCTATTTTGAAGCCTGTTATTTTTGCATATTCTGTTAGCTTCCACAGGTTCGATAATATTTTCTCTATTTTCAACTGATGCTACATTATTATCCTTTAGAATGCCTTTAATAGTTGTTGGAGTAGTCCAATCATTGACAGCTATTAACAAGCTAGAGCTCGGAAAATTTAAATTACCCTTTTCCGGCTTCAATTTTTTGGTATTGGAAAGGGTTGTGATTGTAAAATTTCCTTTTAGTTCCGGACAATTTCGACCGTCATTAAGAGTTGAATTCCTAAGATACTGCTTATTATCGGTAGATATAGTTTGCAGATTTCCTTCTCCTGTTAAGGCAGCACGTGTATTGCATGTGGAAAAGAGAGTTTATATTTTATGAAGTTATTTAAGATATGTATATAAATATAAGTGCTAATATAAAATAAGAATACGTATATGTGACCTGGTCTACGGAAAGGGGGCTTAGGTGTCAAAAAATCAATTTTCACTTTTTGGTTGATTCGGATGGAAGATGAGATGCTTTTTCACGTGGTGAAAAGCAGAAAATCCTAACTTGCTTAGAAGTGTACTAAAAATGTAGAGAAAGTGTTACTTTTTTAAATGTTCCACACTAGCAACTTACACGATGAACTATAATAATATTCCGACCAACAACACCACTTACTGGACCAACAACAACACTTACTGGACGTCCGGCGCGGAGAACAATTAACGAGATAATGAGAAACTGACGAAACGAGTTGCTTACTTTTAACAGCTTTTTCACAGAAAACTAGTTTTCGCACGTAAGCTCCCTTTTCGTAGACCAGGTCACATATATGTACATAAGTATTTGATTTTTTATTTTATTTAAATTCATAGTAATGTCAATCAGGCATTTGAGGTATGAAATAGTCTGCGCTGCATGAAGCTAATACCAAAATGTTCAGGAAATTATCCTGAACAACATTTTAAAAAGCTCAGAATTTATGATACATAAATCCTATCAAGAAAATAAAAATATCAGAATTTAGAGCATAAAATTCTCGACTATGTAGCTTGAACAAATCATTTATTTCCAATTAATTCTTGAAGATTTTATAAGATTTTTTTAAGACTCCTGACCGGTTTCACCAATCAATTTTAAAACTTATCATTCTTTGCCCACCCTGCAAAAAATTGTGCGACTAATCTCTAAAAAAGAGTATTCCGGGATTAGTCTTAATCGGGTACAATTGGGCATTAATTAGTCGCAACTTGTCTCATACGGGTATTATTGGAGATCAATTATGCCGATTTCGTTTCTACCGAAAAATGCAACCTTCTCTTTGCCCTTTACGCACAAACACTAAAAAGAGGGCGATGAGAAGGAAACATTTTTTGTAGAAACGAAATCGCCATTAGTCTCGACCAGTGAGGCACACCGGAGCCGTATGAGGTGGCTCGGCTTTCATCTACAGATCGTGTGTGCAGCTAGCAAACTGTTGCGACGCTGGCCGCAAATCATTTTACCTTTGCACGCACGGTTGCCACTTGTTAAAAAATAACCAACCAAAATCTGACAAAAAACCAACCAAACTGAAAAAAATAACCAACGTTATTTTTCACGTATTTATTACGAACAGCAAAACTTATTACAAAAAAATAAAAAACAAAAATTATTGAAATGCAAATTCATTATTCATCTAACAACTAGTGCGCTAAATCACATTATTTACTTTTGATATGTATTTCATATGCATATCTTACATTAAAATTAGGATTTTGAAAATCACAGTGTTTAAACTTCACACAAATTTAGAATATTATGAAAAAATTCCCGGTAGCGAAAATGGTCACTGGTGAGATCGTCACTAATGAGGATTTATTGACATCGTCGAACTTTCTGTGATTTTTTAAGAGCTTGATACCTTTTTTTTTAAAAAAAACGCATAAAATTTGCAAAATCTCATCGGTTCTTTATTTGAAACGTTAGATTGGTCCATGACATTTACTTTTTGAAGATAATTTCATTTAAATGTTGACCGCGGCTGCGTCTTAGGTGGTCCATTCGGAAANAATGACACTGTTGACAATGCCATGCAGGTGTACTCCTATCAAACAGACAATGTCTTGCAGCGGCCACTTATAAAAAGTCTATTGCAGGACATTGTTGCTTGAATGTCATCAATGATCACTGCATGATAAAATCATGCAGATGCCATCAACGACCAAATTACCATTTGTATGAAAGAGTCATGAACGACTTCCATATAAACGGAGCCCAGTCATTGAAAACTTAACAATGCCCACGACACTTTACTATTGCATGACATTCGCTCTGGGGTTTTATAGTTTACTTACATATGTATTTACATATATTTATACTACATTTATATATGCACATTAGGGTGGTCCTTAAAATCAAATGAAAGATTTTTTCACAGGGGGAAAAGTATAGATTCCTCTATAGAGACTCAAAAAATTAAAATTATTTTCTTTTTTCATCTAACACCCAAAATAGATACTACCATAGTCGAGGATATCACATATAAATTTTGGTCCCGATTGGAATCGGTTAAGGCATGTCGCAAAGGGGTCAAAGGTCAGATGCCTCTATGGACTCAAAAATCTTAAGATATTTTTTTCATTCAATACCCAAAATCGATCCTACTAAAGTCGAAGATATCACATATAAATTTTGGTCCCGATTGGAGTTGGTTACTACGTCTTCATTGGGTAATCAGAACTTTGACCCTGTGCGACACGCCTTAACCGAACCCAACCGGTGCCAAAATTTATATGTGATATCTTCGACTATAGTAGTATCGATTTGGGGTATTAGATGAAACAAAAATTTATTTTCATTTTTTGAGTCTCCATAGAGGAATCTGAACTGTGCCCCTGTGCGACACGCCTTAACCGTCTCCAATCGGGACCAGAATTTATTTGTAATATCTTCGACCATAGTAGCATCGGCGTAGGGGTAGAGGCTTAGGAAATCTGATATAAAGATTTGCTTCCTACATTTAAGGACCACCCTAATGTGCATATGTATGTTCAATTATAGATCAATAAAAACTCAGTAGTATTTTTTTTTTCAAGGAACGATATTCGATAAAAAAAAACAAATCAGATACCTTGTTAATACCTACGAAAAAACTCCATTAACAAAAAATAGATTTGATTCAACACATATTTCTTTCTAACGTTTATTCCTCAGTTTTTATAGCGCACTCGATAAAACCGCATTGAAAAGTAAACAAACTCCGTCAGTTTTATTCGACATTTATTTAAAAATAAATTTGCGCGATGGACCGAAATGGAAGCAGTAATAAAAATTTATTATAATAATAAATACAATTAAAAACCTGGTATTATGTCAGAAAAAAATCATGGACGATGAATTGAGAGAATGATTTTACCTTCTAATGTTTTTATCATGGTTCAAACTGCTATTTACAATAAAGTTCTCTATACTCAGTGTCGCTTACGATAACATTTTAAGAACTCAAAAGTGTAAACAAAGCTAACGATAAATATTCAAAGTCTGTTTTTTGTAGGACGTTGTAACTAGGATTTGTAATTATTTGCAACAAAGAAGTTTTTTTTCGATAACTTGTCGATTTAGGGGTATATATACAAGCGGAAAACATTACAAGGGGGAATTATAAACGAACAAACAAACACCGGATCCGACGTAACATTCGAACCACTCAGGAAAATCCCCGCTATAAGTGCCATCGCGTAGATACAGACCCAAGCCACAGAAACTAAGGAAATAAAAATAACGGATTTCTATCTGCCTGCAAATACAAGCAACCAAAAACCACCTACCTGCTAGTTAACTAAACAAAAACTGATGTACTTAACTAAAGCCTGTTTTTCATTAGGTCATATTTGACGCCAAATGTTGTCAAAATAATGAAAACGGGTTGTCATCTGGTGTCATTTGCGTTTGTTGTCATATATCACCACGCACGGTCATATAAAATGACATCCAAATGAAAACGGCCCTCGCCGCTGATGTGGCAGCATTTGACAACCAAAATGTATTTGCCAACATGTTGGCAATTTTGATTTCGTTTGGCATGCGAACAGCTGATTCTAGCTACAATACGGACCGTTTAGCTAAAAAGAAACCAAAAATGCAGATCGATAGAACTTTTCACGCTGATTTCAACCATACCCAAATTATTTGGGGCAAGTAAAAAACACAGCAAATATAACAGGTTAAACTTCAACTTTCCTTTTTCTTACATGTAAATCTCGGAAACGACTTGCCCGATTAGAAAAGTATTAAATCCAATTCAAAGATTATTTTAATGGCTTTTTGGTAAACGATATTTAAAGAAAATATATATACTATTTCGATTTTTTCTACTACTTTCGTTAAATTTTGCCCTATAACAAACCTTTCTATATAAGGTAATAACTTGTACTTTCTAAATAATATAAATTTCTGTAGCATTAGTTATGCAATTTTCTTCAAAAAAGGAAATTTAATGAAAAAATTAAATTTTTTTTGTTTTTTTTTTTGTATTTCTGACTCCAAAATATAAAAAATCAGAAAAATTATGTACATCAACCGAAAGATAAACTAATCATCTTTATTTTGATGTTTGTAGTTGTTTAATCGGTTATGTAGTTCATAAGATATTGATATTTCAAAATATCGAAAAATTTAACTAAACCTACTATATCTTCTTAATTTTTTACTTGCGCTAAATAATTTTGATAAGGTTAAAATCAGCATGAAGAGTTCTATCCAATTACATTTTTGGTTTGTCTATAGCTAAATGGTCGGTATTCTATACTTTTTGTAAAAATTTAACATCACTTTTGACATCAGTAATGAAAACGGAATGTCAATCATTTGACACCGAAATTTGACGACAGTCTTTGACATGCACTGCGGTATCGACATTTGGTCAGTTTTTAAAATGTAGTGAAAACGCATTTGACATCAAATGAACAGCTGTCAGATGAAGGCAGTTTTTGATGTCAGTGATTTTGTCCTAATGAAAACCAGCCTTAAGCATACCTGTCCTAAAGGCAGTTAAAACGAAGATACGTATAAAGTCGGACGGAAACACGGACTACTCAGAACGAAAAAATAGCTGTAATTTTCGGTCCCTTCAATATTCGCATTCGCAAAAGATCCGCATTGATTTTTGCGAATGCGAATGTTAAAATTAATGCGGAAGCTCCGCGGTTGCGAATGCGAATGCGAATATTTACAACAACCCTGATGAGGACTTATGTACATGGCGTTAAGTACATTGAGAAAAAAAAAACCCCCGTTGTAAAAATGAAAATTTTTTATTTGATTACCCTTTAAAAATGTTCGTATTTAAATCAAGTGAAA